ATAGATAGATAGATAGATAGATAGATAGATAGATCAAATGTAAATCAAGACATTTGTACTCCCTTGTTTAAGAACAACCTTGAAAACATCACATCCGATTAAACCCTAAATTTTTGCTTTAATGATTTCTATACAAGAAGACATGTGATCATGAATTAACATATCATGCAAGCATTGGTTGCATGTATGTATGTATGTATGTATATATATATATATACATGTGATTATGATGATGATGATGATGATGATGATATATGTATGTGGCATAGTACATGCATGACAAGGATAAGTCATGAGTTGGGACAAAAGTACAAGAAAAGCAAACAAGATTCACAGGATTTTTCTTTGAACTTTAAGGGTTTTCACTTTGAATGATTTCCTGCAAGAAAGGCACAAACTTTCGGAGATGAAGAGGGGCCATCTCTTTATATGCTTCAAGAAGAAACAAATCTTTCCCCACTTTGTCCTTCCAACAAACAAAATCCTTTAATATCCCTTGCATGCTTCCAAGTTTTCAAGTGGGGACTTTTTAGGGTTTTCACATCTTCTTTATCATAACCTACAAACTACTAATATAATAATGAATCGGTAGGACGGTGTTATATTATTCGACCCATAACCAAGGCCGTGTGTTTAAAGGTGTTGGTATTTATACAGTTTAATTAAATCACTGTACGTGTACTGAAAATATATATAAAGGAAATCTGTAATGTTGATGTGAGTGATATAAATTAAAATTAGTAGAGAGGGGGTTTCATTCATTTATAATAACTCTCGTGTTAATCGTGGGAATGGAAAGAAATGCCAACAAGGTGGAAGAAAAATCTCGATGGCTCTGATTAAATTGGTATCTTTCCTAAGTTCCAAGAAAGATGTGTACGAATGTTTTGATCGTCTATATACCATGCACAAGCCAGGTACCAATAATTGCAACAAACCTTGTACTAGCAAGGCTTTCTCGGATGGTAACAGCAGAACAATAATTAATAAGGGAAATTGAAATACTGCAAAGTTGTGTTACAATATACGAAATTGGGATACTACAAGTTGTATATGAAAAGCATAGTAACTCAGTTTATGATCTTATCTGTATCGTACATTCAATAATACAGGAAATGGGGATACTACAAAGTTGTGTTACAATATACGATCTCAATCATACCTCACGTCCTAAAGGATCCCATCTCCTAAGGGTATATGAGTAGGAAGCTGGTCTTTTATAAAATTGAGGTCTTATGTATTAATATTTTATATTTTACAAGTTTTATTTATATATCATAAACAAAATATAAGATTGTGAATTCAACTGAAGTACGCTTTTTAATATTACATTGTTTGTTCCTAAATAGGAGTTAAGTTCCAACACAGTAATTATGCTTGATCATCTTCTTCTTCATCAAAAATCAAGGTTTTCTTGAAATGACATTTCATTTTGGAATGCTTCATACTCAAGTGAGATTGAATTCAAATATATAGCTCGATATTTCTACTTATAGAAAGGGAATCATCAATTTCGTCATTCGTCCCGATAATAAAGGATAGAATACTGACTTGACATCTGATGAGAACAGTGACACTTTTCCTGTAAATATGAAATATTTTTTGTCGTAGATGCATGATATTGACTAGAATAGAATCTTATATTGTTTGTCATCTAGATACTTTTAGAAGAAGAAAATTAAAAGGTCAATGGACCAAAATTGGATCATAATAATAGTCAAGGGATCATTTATGTAAATTACTTGTAAAGTCTATAGTCGTATTCTTTTGGGTGAGAATCTATATAAGATATATGAGCATGTGACTAAGTCCATTCAAGTCCACTGGAAATTAGAAACAATTTCTTTATTTTTTTAATATTTAATATTTTAGAAAGCAATTAATTTAAACATTTTAATTACACATTTTCCATTTTATACCATGAAATTAAAATAATTTCAACATTTTAGAAAATAATTTCTTTAATGTTTTAATATTTTAGAAAGCAATTTAAACATTTTTATTATACCATGAAATTAAAAACAATTTCAAAATAAACCACGCATGAATCATGGAAAAAATGATAAATATGATGGTCCAAATCCAAAGTTTTCTAAGAAGGATTGTGTATGGGCCCATAAATAAAAAGTGATATCCCGAAAGATATATAATTGAATTAAAGATTGCGTAAATTTCAACGGTATTTAATGGAAATAAAAACTATCAAAATCAGATAACGACAGGTCGCGAAATTTTTGAGTGTTGGCACCATCAAATCATCTTTGAAAGGTTAGTTTGATCTCTTCACAAGTTTTGTTTAATCTATAGATCTTACTGAAAAAAATACGTTATATCGATACAGATAGTCTAAGAATGGCCTATCTTTTGTGGGGTATGAGCCTATTTGGATTCAAGTTGCGAATCTAACAATGGGAGGCAAAGAAAATCTTGAATTTATCGAAAACAAATAATGCAGGCTCTCGCCAACTAACGATGTCACTCTTGAATGACCTAAATTTACTTCAAACCTTGAACCATTTAACTCTCAAATCCAATACTTGATTCGTGGGCCAAACGAAATCATGTCCACAAAATACATTGAATTTTTCTTCATTCCTGTTGCTTCAACATGCCTACATGTAATATGGATAATAACTAAGATGTGGCAAGATTTGATTTTTTGTCGAAATCAAAAATTGGCCATGTTATGATGCCCGAAAGAAACAAAAATGGTACACTATAGCCACGACGTATGTTTTGGAAAACTTGAGAACCAACACAACTCTTAAATAAAGGTTAACCCTTAAAGTTCTCCTCAATGTCGCTAGAACGAGTCTTCTAAGGCCATTGAGAATTGTTTTACTGATATTTTCAAGGCTCGATGAGAAAGAATGTAAGTTTAAAAACCAAGAGTGCCAGCTCAGTATGAAGGTCAAGCTTTGGGGTTTCAATTCTCCCCACTGGTCATCAGTTCAACTCTCCTTATACACACTAGAAGTTTCTTGGTTGTTATCATCAGGACCTCATAGGATTAGACCTATTTAGGATCATTAAACATAGGAAAACTACGCCACGATGGAGAGTTGAGAAAACACAATCCACCGGCTGAGACAGAAATGCATAAAGAGAGAGAAAATTAAGGGTGCATTTGGTACACAGACATGTCTGGATATGAGTAGAATTCTTAAAGGTTTTAAGGTTTTAGTTTAACATGGATAGTTTAATGATTTACCAAGTTTGTCCATCTCCCTGGTTTTTGTTCCACCTATTTTGATGGAACCAAAAAAAATGCATATCCCACCTGGTTTAGTCTAGTTCCATAATAACTATCACTCTAGACGTGGGACTACAAATTTTTATTCTATACTGTCATATCTTGTATTGTCCCACATACCAAACAGACTCAGAGTCTATTTGTCATAGCTTATTTGGTCCGCTATACATGACTGTTTGGTAGCAATGATATAAAAAGTGGGTCATTCAGTAAGCTTCTAGGGAGAGGGTTATGCAGAAAGTCCAAATTTTTCCGACCTTATCTCTCGCAATTAAAACACACGCTTCTTCCATCTATGAGAAACCCCCTCGCAAACAAAAATCTTCCCAACAAATAATCCATACAACAGCTTTATTCATACATGACTTGATGAAAAGCCAACTAAATAGCCCCTAAGGTTCTTTTCCAAGAACAAGTTAATGGAAACCACAATCACATCTTTGTTTCTTCTCCTGAAAAACCCATAAAATGGTAATGGTAACTATGGATGAGGTGCAGAATCATACATTATGGCATCATCGTTTATCAAAGGATGTTTTCCAGAAATAACAAGTGTTCAACAGGGTATTGGAGAAACTATTTGTGAACAACAAAACGATTCTTTCTTACAATCGTTACGGTTGAAGCATTTCTGGAAGACTGGCCGTCAATCCAAAAGAAACATCGGATCCGGCTTCCAAAAATCACACAGCAGGAACCTTTTTCCCATCTTCAATGAAAAAAATCGCTGTTTCCGGAACCTGCAATATGTTCAAATGCAGCAATATTGAACTTGTGTAAAATGGATGATGAAACAACAAAATAATGCATCATTTTGACTTCTAAAAGTCAAATTATGGAAACCAAAGATTGAAGTTGATAATCCCTCCATTTCAGAATTTGAGACACATTTGAGCTTCTTACTCAAATGATTCACTTTTAGGATCCAAAAAAATGCCAAATTATGATGTTACATGTTACATGTTACTTGAACCTATAAATCAGAGATTTAATCTTTGAATAAAAGATAACATGGACCTGATAACAAAAAAGTAAACGTTTCTGAAATTTAGAAATGAGTTGCCTATTTACCATAGATATAGTTTTAGGGAAAAGATCAAATGAAAACTATAAATATTTTGAGAGAATGAGAACCGATGCATATACACTACATGAATTTCAATGAGTATGTACATCAATGCATATTATACTTGCATATATAGTAGATATGCATTTATGAATATACTCATTGACAGAATACATATTTTGATGGAGTATATGCAACGATTCATATATATATATATATATATAGAGAGAGAGAGGGGCAGGTTCAAGCGAGAACAGTAACTAAATAAAAGAACACATAAATGGCCAAATCACATGTAATTTACACTAAAAGTCGATGTAAAGGTGTGAAGGCGACATGACCCACGACCTCAAGTGGCAGCCAAAGTCACTTGATTTTAATTTTAGTGTAAAATCACATGTGATTCAACCGTTTTCTTATTCTCTTATTTGATTATTTTTCTCGTATGAACCTGACTATATATATGTGTGTGTTTGTGTACATATACCGGTTCTCACAATTCTCAATTAAACCTTCTCCAACAGTTGTATGAGTCATATTTACTCTTCTCTTTACCCCTTGGGGTAGAAAAAGGTTGCATACATCTTATCTTCTTGGTGTATGTTTAATTTGGTTTGGTTTAAAGTAAATTCTTAAAGTTATTATGGAGCTCTAATCCTGGAATGGAGGTAGTAGGTTCGTGTTTATCAATATCAGGTAAAGATAATAGGTTTAATTACATCCGGCCATGTATCTGTAATGAATTCCACGATGTCGTATGCAATATCTCCTTGTACATCAATTTGATCTTTCTCAGTTGGACCCTGAGAAGAATAATTCAAGAAATTTCAATCATTGATGGGTTAACTATATTATTAAACGCATATACATATGTATAGGGTTAAGTTCAGGGAAAAACTACAAGAAATATAAAAGCTGAGAAACACCCTGGTACCTGTTCATCTGTATGGTATGCACATGTGCATACAAGTTATTTGTAAGTAATTTTTCCAGGATGCACACATGCATAGAAACCAGGAAACATCTTCAATTATTTGTGTACACATGTGCATACTGCACAGATGAACGGTTATTAGGGTGTTCCTCAGTTTTTCATTTTTTGGGGGGTTTTCCCCTAAACCTCACTCTCTCTCTCTCTCTCTCTCTCTCTATATATATATATAGAGAGAGAGAGAGAGATAGAGAGAGAGCAGCCACCAATCGTATACCTTCACAACCGAAGCTCCAGTAGCAAATTTCTTTCCAAGCTTCTTTGAAGCATCACTCAATTTAACACCTACAATTATTTGTTATGATCCACGGACGGCAATATGAAAAAGGCTGAAGAATCTAAATACCATGAAAGATGAGTATTACACTTACCAAAAAGCTCGAGACCTTTGATGGTGGTGATAGATTTACGCTTGTTGCGTGTTACCTTCTCGATTATAACTTCTTGTTTATCCTAGAGTAGAACATATTCAAAGCTTGATTAAATACTAGTTGTGTACCCGCGCAATGCGGCGGAAGCCATGAATTTTAACGATTTTGAAGTTTCACTGGTTTTATAAGACAAGATTTAACGATGATATAGGTTACACTTGATCTTTACATATTAATACAATTTGAATAAATAAGAGTTATGGTTCTAATTACAGACTATCGATAAAAAAAAATTGTATGACAGTTTAAAATCCAATAAATTTAAAATTCAACATATTTAAACGACTCCACAAATGTGTTCAATTTACACCAAGAGCAAAGAACCAAAAAACTTGAGTTCTAAGATAAACACTCAAAACCAATAAAGAAAACTACAAATTTGACAGATCATAAGCTATGAAAA